CGGTAATACGCCAGTACATGCTTCCAGCAGGTAAGAACCTCTCTTAAAATATTAGGTAAAACCATGAAATGGCTGATAATCAACTGTTTTGGTCGTACCAACAACACACACACACACACACACACACACACGTGCAGCAAGTTCAGATAATTCAACATTATATGCAGCCATAATATCAAATTCTGAATCTTTAACGCTGAGGATTTTGAGGAGCCCTGCCCCAATTCTGGAGAAAGGAATGTGTATCGCTGCCACTGTGCCACCTTCCTCCCCCGCCCACTGCAGCAGCACGGAGCGGACAGGACGAAAGGGACTTGGCCGACAGGATGAAGGTACGGATCTCAAGACGGAGAGATGACTCGGGATCTTCCAAATGGCCCGATGTAACCACTGTGTCCGTATAAGAGGGAGGAGCAAGGACAGGGAGGAGAGAAGGCACCACGTTGCTGGCTTCAAAGATGGAGGAAGGGGCCAAAGGTGAGGGATGCAGGCGGCCTCTAAGCCTAGAGAAGGCAAGGAACAGGCTCTCCCCAGGGCCTCCAGAGGGAGTGCAGGCAGCTCCACCACACCTTGACCTCAGCCCAGCGAGCCTGACCTCAGGTATCTAAGCTCCAGAACCAGAAGAAGATAAACCTTGATCGCTATAAGCCACTAAGTGTGTGTAGTTGGTCATAGCAGCCACAGGAGACTAATCAAATGCCACGAAACTCCAGCTTAGGAAACCTCTCTTGCAAGGATGTCCCCATTGCCTGGGGGCCCTGGAACAGGCCTAGAACCAAATTCCGTCTGAGCAGAAACCCTGCAGGTGCAGGCGGCTTTGCTGGGTCATGTGCACAGCTCACACGGCCCCGCCCAGGGACCAAGGGGCTGGTGTCTCTTGTTGGCACAGTCCCGAGGGATGCCTGGTGCTTTTCTCTGCTTCCTGGGCAGGCAGGGGAGGGCCTGCATCTGTGCCCCACACACAGCAGGAACACAGCAGGCTGTGCGCTTGGGAAAGTGGCTCTCAGATCAGTGGCTGTTCCAGGTGAAGTGGCAGCGTGGCAGCTGAGGCTCCCCGACTCCCACTGCCCTGGGGGACACGTGCTGAATGCGGGCACATTGCTGCGGGGCGGTGTGTCTGTGTGTAGTGTGTGCATCCGTGAGATACAGCGCAACGGGGGATGTATGAGTCATGGAAAGTCAGTGCATTTCTGCCTACGTGCTGCACGGATGTGTGTGTGACCGCTACTCACGGGTGTTGGCTCCCGTTGGGGAGATGGCCCCTCATTGCAGCCAGGTGACTCACTGGGAAGTGTGTTCATGGTTCATTCTTAAGTGCACCAATCTGGGTTCCTCGGCTGCGGTGACTTCCTAGCACGCACCCCCTGCCGGCGCCGCGCCGCGCGAGGTTCCATGTAGAAATAGGGGAAAGACCACCATCCAGCCGAGGTTGGTGCCTGGCTCCTCTACATCCTTGTTGGGGAACAGAAGGTGGGTGCCCCGCCGGTGACAGGGAGGGTGTATAGCAGCTGGACCCTTGGGCCACAGCCAGCCGGCAGAGTCCTGTTTCCCTGGTCTGAAGAGCAACTAAGGCACAGAAGTGACAGTGGCCATGGGCTCGCTAGGGGGCGGGACAACTCAAGTGGGGGGAGTTCAAGAGAATTTTTGGCACCACCTGTGCACCCATAACACAAGGGTTCACAAAAGCTATTCCCGTACTCTCCTACCTATTTAAGCCTGGGTGAGTCCAGATGTGAACTACAGGGCAATGCCCTTGTTTATTTCTCCTCTCTGCTCTCTTTTTTTTTTTTTTCGAGACGTCTCAGTCCACCAGGCGCTGGAGTGCACGTGGCGCCATCTCGGCTTCACTGCAACCCTCCTGCGTCCAAGCTTCAAGAATGATTTTCAGTGATTCTCCTCCTCAGCCCTCCCGAGTAGCTGGGAATGACCAGTCATGCAACACCAACGCCTGGCCTAATTCATTTGTATTTTTAGTAGAGAGGGGGTTCACCATTTTGGGCCAGGATGGTCTCTCGATCTTTCTGATCCTCGATGATCGCCCGACCTCGGCCTCCCCAAAGTGCTTGGCGATACAGGTGTGAGCCATCCGCCGTGCCCGGCCGCCCTTGTTTATTCCTATCAGGCCCCAAGAGCTGGTAGGAGGGACTTTCAGGATGTGAGACTGGTCTGTTTTCCACAGCTGCTGTAACCAGTGACCACACAGTGAGCAGCGACAGAACGATGACAAATACACTCTT